AGGATTACAATCTTGATTCCTTCTCATTGCTACTGTCATGTGCCACAGCTGGTGTCCTGTGGACCCTTGGAATGTTTCAGCTTATCTCCCACCACAGCCTGGATTTTAGAATCTGACCCCTGATTCTTTCAGGTTGAAATACACAATACATGCTTATCCCAAGTGGGGTTACGAGGGGTACTGGTCTCCAGTCGTCAATGAGCGAGAGGCAGGACACAACCTGGACAGGTCCATTGCAAAATTAGACAGACAAAATCAAGCATGCACACACCGAAGGAGAATTTAGAGAGATCAATCAAACTTGATGCAAAGTAACAGTGCTACCAACTGCACTACTGTAGAGCCCCATAATATATATTTTCTTAAGTTACGAAGTGTGTATTATAAAAAATGTTCATTGTTTCATGAAATGAAATCTTTATGGGGAAAATTGTACAAGATTCAATCAAGCAATAGAATAATATACAACAATTTACATAATTTTAGGTTGAAAGATACATTAGCTTAGACTTACTAAATGTTACAGTTGCCAAGTGCTTGTGAGAAGAAAACTTTTCTTCCCCTTCTGCTCTATTCTTTCCAAACAGCCTCTGACTCCAGTGTTTGGTTTCTAATTCGGGCTCATCTGGTGAGTCCATCTCATCAGCAGGATCAGTGGCTGTAAGTCGGGTCAGTGTCTTCCAACCAAGACCTTGTATTTCACCTCCTCTAAGGTTTTGAAGCTATTAAACTAAAAACTACAATCTACAAAAACAATTAAAACTCAGTAAAATAAAAATAATCCAAAGCCTTTATTAATCCATCCATGGATAGATAGATTCATTGAATTCAGATCATTTGAATTCAATTATTTGAATTCAGAAAACTCAGTTATTTGAATGATTTATTTTTCAATTCAATAATTATTCATTTGAATTAAATATTTAATTAATTATGTGATTCAAAGAGTCAAATTAAAAATATTATAGACATATATAGACATAAAACATATTCCAAGTGTCCTTGTCTTGTGTGTAACATGTCACTTGCTGAAGCTGGTATGAGCCTCTTATCCAAGTTGAATTAGGGGTTGGAGGTTCAGTTCCTGTAGATGACAATGTTGTGAGACTTAGGATCTTTGGCTTTTGCTCTTTCTCACCAAGAATGTGAATAGATCTGAGTTTATCTGTGACAAATAAATATTTCATTTGAAAAATCTGCATAAACTTCAGCATTATTTATTTAATTAAGGGAAGTTTTGTGCCTTACGACTTGATTGTCATGTTTTTCGAAGTGTTTTGTAATACTGTCATAAAGCCAGATATCACACTGAAGTAACACAAAAACATCCAATTTAAGAAAACCATGAAGAACTCCCTTTCTTTGCTGCTAACAATATAATTACTGCTATGCATATACTTACTTTTTCTTTAGCCCTGCCCTCCATGACCTCTGTTTCTGTCTCTGTTTATAGATGTGACACTTCTTCAGCCTCGCAAAATGTCTGTCTTTCTATGCAGTAGCAAGATAGAAGACATGTCATCTGAAAGTACATATAAGACACCCTGCTAAAGCTAACATTCATATACTGTTAGAAAAATAATATGAACCAACAATAATGTTTATTATTTTTGAAGCATAGGTGAAATATGTTTTCAGCAAGGTTATTGCATGCTTAGAAAGATGTCCAGAGTTTTCAAGCAATAGGAGAGAGGTACAGGTTTTTTTAAATCTAACTTCTTAGTCAGTAAGTTTTTCACCTAACAAACCACTCCGACTCGCCCTGAATGGGATAAGTTCTGCAGTCGCACAATTACATAGTTATGTGGGCCACCGTGTGAGAAGGTCTCAGTGTACTACTGGGAATCATTAATAAAAAAGCAGCAGGCCATTTTCAACAGAAGAAAAAAAAACTTTCCAGAGGCATAAAACTTATAATGCAAGTTGAAAAGTTTCTACTAGTGTGAGTTGGATATTTTATCTAGTGAATTCTTATGGCTGAAGGGGAAAATAAAACAAAAACTTATTGAAAATTTAAAGAAAATGTTAATTATTTTTAACCATGGTGTTACTATTCCTAATCTGTAAGACAAATTTCTGTTCATTTTAAATTCCCATTTTTGGAAAAATATTATTTCTTACCAAAGTTTCTGAGGAGTTTTGTGTAAGAAATTATTATTTTTTCCAGTTTAACATTTATTTGTAAATGAATATGAGAACAAAGTCAATTTTATCAAATATAAAATTGATTATTATTGCATAATAATAATAATAATAATAATAATAATAATAATAATAATAATAATAATAATAATAATAATAATAATAATAATGTTATTATCATTATTATTGTTGTTATTATTATTAAACTTTTTTGTCTATTTGTATAAGCTACTTGAAATTGGATGAGTTCAGTTTTGTAAAAAGAAGATCATTTCTTGTTTTAAATTAAAATGACTGCGGTGCTTTTATATTTATTTCGAAAATCAATATGCCCACTGTAAGCCAAATTAAGCATGAGTTAGAAATTCGGCGCTGTATCAATTACACCGAAAAAAGGTTCTGTACGGAATCGACCATATTTCTCAGAATGTCTTAACAATTGTTATTAAGTTAGTTGCTAAGAATATAGAAAATAATATAAACTCTGTTGAGTGGCAGATTTAAAAGACAAATGATTTCATGGTAATTCATAGTTCTGTAAATACTTTAATGAAGCTTGCAAAATGATCTATTAATGTCTTCAGGTGCAGATGCAAAACCTTTTTCTTTTAATAAGAAATGTTCTTTCAATTGCAGGCGCTTTAACGTGATGGCATCGAGGGTGTTGAACCACTGCAAACTTGATTCGTGTCTTCGGGAAAGTTCGTCTCGAGAGCCGATTAATTGGCGTCAAGCGGCGCAAGAACTGACGAGAAAATGCGTTACCTTCCTGTTGAAAACATCGCTTTCTGAATGTGTCATCAAATCCAGATGTAATAACAAAATAAGTCTCACCACGTTGGCTTTTTAATGAAACTCACATTATCATGTAATAGCGGATTAAGTAATTGGGAAAATATGCGCGGAGGGGGCCTGCTTCTCCCAAATCTCCGCTCTAACCTCACTGAAGCTCTGAACTGAAACTCTGCTCTACAGATAACATTTTAAAGCTTTTTGCACTGCGCTGTTCTCAATTAACGCGCTGTCTGGATGACTGTAAACCCACAGGGTGGAGGCCCTGTGAAAATTGGAAATTCCCTCAGCCTGCGGTCTGACTGAAAAGATACTAACTGTGACTGCAAGGCAAAGCAGGCTTCAGCAATAATGACACAAGGAAGCATGTTTAAGATGCTCTTAAACATAACAAAGTTATGCACCAGATTAAACGAACAATCGAAAACAAAAGAAAGTACACTGAGTTTAGTTTGTTTATGCATTCATTTCATCAGTGTAACGTTGAGTAGGACATTATTTAAAATCGCGAATCTCTTCAAACCTTCCTGGAATTGTCGCTTCTGATTTGGTCACAAAAACATGCCGCTTGAGGGAAAAAAAAAGTTAATGTCAGAATTTTATATTTTTTTCCGAATCTGTTCCAATCATAAAACAAATCAGAACAAATATAGAAAAATAAATGTGATTGAATTAAGTTCACCTTAATTTAGTACAGCTTAGTTCAATACAGATTTCATCATTTCTCAAGGTGACACATCAAACAAGCCCAATTTAAATCCGGTTGAACAGAAACGATTCTCTGTCCAAACACACTCAGATTAATCCAATTTATTCCAATTCAATGAAAAAGTCCGATTCAAATTCAATTACAAAAGATTACCTGACTGAAGCCAGAATTTTCGGTTCATTATTATTTCTTTTGCATAACTGCAGCGCTGCAGTTCCGCCTTAGTTTATCTTGATTCAACTTAAATAACAAAGTTAGCGTGTGTACCATACAGATGGGATTTAATAGTTATTATTGACTGAAATCCAGAACTAAATTTCTGTACAATCACAATCAAAAGCTTTGACTTACCATACCGATGACGTCAATAGTTTGTGTTTTCCTCCCGGCCCCTCCAGTGCCCCTCCAGTCCTCTCTCACATTTCGTCATTATCCTGACCCTCAAACATGAATTATATCGCAGATCATCAGAGCCCAATGTTCCTCTTTCTGGCAGCCAGCAGCTTCGTCTCTTTCCTCCATCCAGCTTCTCTTTCCCCGTCAAGGCGCACTGCCCCCGCACTACCACGAGCCGTGGCCTATAAACCAGAAACAATCACCTGGGAGCTTTTATTGTGGCTTTAAATAAGCCTCAAAAAGTAGCTGAAATAGTTTGCCCTTTAAAGTCAAGACGGACCTGCTTTAATAGAGATAATTGACAAACGTTAATTTGCCAATAAAAATAGTGTCACAGCTGCAAAGCCACAAGGAAGGACTACAAGCTAAGTTCAGGAGGCAAGTAAATAATGACAGAAGCTCCAGTGGGATGTTTTTCAGTTAACTTGTCTTTTCTCGCAACATGAATTAGGACTAGTGAGTTAGTGTAATAGTGATTTAAGTGCATACCCACCAAACACAGAGCTGATTTAAGAGGTAAATGCTTGACCGCAATACAGCAGCACTGACTTCTCTCTTGGTCATTATTACACATTCTGGAATGCGCGTGACCCAAACGTTGCGTTTGAGTAAAATCAAATAAAAAAAACTACAAAAATCTGCATTTAGTTGACCCTCATAGTTTGAATGCAGTTTGCACAGACATTGCTATTGGCTAGAATGCAATTTATTGTGATTCAGAAGAAATTATAGTACAGTGTTTATAGGCATTTGTTTTTGTACTATTTTATTTTATTTTGTGCCTGTAAACACTGCAATACAATGAAGTGAAGAAATGGAGGACAAAGAGAGAGCGGAAGAAGCTACGTCTCCTCTTTTCTTCTTTCTGTTTTGGGGGTAAGGGGGTGCTATTTTTTTTTTTTTTTTTTTTTTTTTTTTTTGTTTTTGCTGCAGCGGCGCTTTTTCAGGCTCAGGGTAAAGGTCCGGCCAATCAGCTGCACAGACCCGAATAACCCGCCAACATTTACGATGGGTAGGCTGTAGCACTTTGTTTCGCTATACTGAGCAAGTTGGTGATGGGAGAGGGGGAAGGGCTGAGAGAGAGAGAGAGAGAGAAGAGAGAGAGAGAGAAAGAGAGAGAGAGAAAGAGAGAGAGAGCCCTGAAAGTAATCTGCAGAAGGGAGTGGGAAATAAGAGAGTGGCAAAATTATCTTAATGTCTCTGCTTTTGTTCTGCATGAAGTAAACTTGCCTCGTATTCTAGATAATGTCCAAGAATGTCCATTTCTGGGACTTTGAGCAACTATTACGTGGACTCCATCATAAGTCATGATAGCGACGAACTTTCGGGCGCGCCTCGCTTCTCCAGCGTCCAGTTTCCCGTTTCCACCTCCGCTGCGACCGATGGAGCCGCGCACTCCGAGCATGCTCTTTCCGAGCCATATCCATCCTGCAGCTTCCAGCCCAAAGGTCCGGTCTTTTCATCACCCTGGGGGCCCTTCAGCCCGCACCACGGAACTGGTGGTCTCCCTGCAGTCTACCATCCCTACATCCCGGGCCAGCATGTCGCCTCAGGCGCGGCAGACACGAGATACATTCGATCATGGCTGGACTGCGCGCCGCGAGACTCCGAGTCTTTCCCGGGCCAGAGCCAAACGGGGCAGGTCAAACTGGAGCCCCAGCTTAGCCATCAAGGCGGGGAGCTTCCCATCAAAATCAGCGGACAACACGAGACTACCACATACATTCTAGAATCGATTTCCACGGCGGAACGCGAGCTGAACCTCCATTCCACTTCCATTCAGGGATCAGGATTTGAAGAAAGTAAGGATGTCTGTGAAGGAAGTAAAGACAAGGACAGCGCGGATCAAAGTAAGTAATGAAAGCAGGAAATGATGCGAGGGAGAACTGCATGGGATGGGAGACAGTAAATACTTTAATGCCGCCATAAAACAAGAACAAAGAGCCGGAAAGCCAGAAAGTGTTCCCACCTTCCACCCTGCATATATATATATATATATATATATATATATATATATATATATATATATATATATATATATATATATATATATATATATATATATATATATATAGGTGTGTGTGTGTGTGTGTGTGTGTGCATGTGAGTAATTGCATATAGTTTTAATGCGCTCAATCTTATTTATCAACATTTAAAATCCATCTAAGAGTCTGAAAACCTAAGTATATTTGCGTAACAATTTATTCCTCTTTCAAAAACACTAAAACATTTTGCATTCATTTTGTCACCGTTTTCCCTCAAAAGCAGAGCAGATTGATCCGCCACTCTCATCAGAGTACAGGGAGCGTTAAGGTTGGGCAGCAGGCGGCATTTAAAGTATTGCAAACATCTGGGAATAAAGATATAGGGAGTTCTTAGAAAAATGCTCGCAATTCTACGAAATTGTGAGCATTTTTGCGTGTTACAGCCATTCTGTTTTGCTCCATTTATTAACAGAGCAACAGCAAAACGGTCTCTTACTTATTGCAGCTCCCAGAGACAAACAAGCCAAAAGAGAAAACAAAACCAGATATCAATACCCAACTAGCAAAAGTACAAGCCAAGCACAGACACGTTGGTTTGACTGATTTTAAAATTAATGGGATCCATAATCTTGTGGCGGTTTTAAAGTGAGATTGTTTGTTTGTTTTTATTCTAAGATTTGTTGTCCAGTCAGAATCAGTTTAAGTTTTTACATTTGAGTGGCTTGGTTTACAACCAGCTTCATTTTGCACCTTCATATCGTTATTTATAAGAATCCTGTCTGATGTTTGATTTTTTTTTCAACTGTTTAGTTTTCTTCATGTTTGATGAAGCGGCCCGATAATACACAGAAGTCAACGGGAAAATAGTTCGGGTCATGATTATAATTATTTTTCGCCGCAAATTTTGACCATAGCTGGAAGATAATAAATAATTGGCTTGAGTTGAATTAAGCGTCTCTTGATCTACTTCAGTTCTCTGCTGGCTGGCCTATATGGTTCGTGTCTGTGTTTTTACGAACACTTACGAAACACAATCCCCGTAATCATCGTCGAATATTGTTGTTATTTCAGTTAAAAATCCTTTCCGATATTTCATCATTTATTTGAAACGTATTATTTGGACGTGTGCACCTCGGTCCTGTTCTCTCCATGCCGCGCCGCCGACCAAAACAGAACTGTGTCTTAACAGAGGCTTGTTCAGAAGCAGAAATAAAAACTGAGCACAATTTATCAAAGCACTGCTAACGCACGTGCACACACGTGCATACACACGCACACACCTGCATCTTCCCCTCCCCCCTCACACACACACACACACACACACACACACACACACACACACACACACACACACACACACACACACACACACACACACACACACACAAACAACCTAATGCAGCCACTATTACAGCACGTTAGCGAGCGATGCATCAAAGCAGTGAGCTGGATGGAGCCCATCAGGCTCCGGGATGAATTATTAGACTTTCCCCCCACACAGAGATCCAGACCGAACTGCTGATTGGGAAGGTTTATCTGTCTACACTGGAACAGGAGGAAGCTATCTGTCTGCTTTTTTAAAGCGTAAGCGTATTTTTCTTATTATTAAATCTTGTGTTCTGCAGTAGATTTGTTTTTCAGTAAGCACAGAGAACCTCATTGTAAAGATACACAAATCATCACTCTAATTCATTTCAGTTTTTAAAAAAAGAACATAGTACAAATAAAAAAAAGAACATAGTAATGTGTAAACGATTTCATTAGAATTTAATAAATAAAACAACAAACTTTAAAAATGTGACCAGAATGACACGAATATCAGGATATTGCTATATAGTTGTAAAACTCTTGCTATTTTGGCATTAAAAGCCGGTCTGACAAAACAAGTACTGGGACATTGACAGAGAATACTGAACACATGTTGGGATCATGGTTGGTAGTTACTTCCTTCATGTTGAAAATTCAGGAAAAGATTATAATCTAGTTTCTCATAATGTCGTAGAAAAGTGCAGAAGGCTGACTGAAATAGTTTTCATTTCTCATGTCTGACATCTTGAGAAAACAATAACATCACATTGTTGCAATAAGAACAATCTCTAGTAATGTATAAAAAATAACACACATATGACATTTAATTTAATTTCAGTCCAACATTGTGTAAGCTTGTGTGGTTGAAATCAACGGGTTAAAAAATTTCAACGTTTTAAATGATCATGTTACATAAAACAAACCAAAAACCATTAACCTTAAATACAAATGAAAAAAAATGAATTGTACTTATGTCAACTATTTGGAAAGTTGTAGATGTGCAAAGTCTTTATTTCAGGATACCAGCTCAACTTAGACTCAACAGCAACACCACAAAACTTCCTGCTTCTAAAATATTTGGTTTCAGAAGAGGAAAGATTCCAGATCCACAATCTCTAATTTGAAGACAAGAGTCTAAAGAAGACAGAATGACAGCTACAGTAAACTTTTAAATTGGACTCTTTGAATGCATGTCTTATTCACTTTTCAGTAAGTAAAAATAGTGAAATATTGTATGATATGCATAATATATGTTAACAAGAGGATGGTTGTCACAAAATGTTAAATAAAGTCTCTTTCCAGCTCCAGAATTTTCTTTGCATTATGAGAGCTGGGCAGCCGCCCAGGACAAACTACCAAATCACACTTCAGTCCTTGTGCTGCTGCTGGGTAAACTCACACAGTTATTACCCCAAAGTGAATTATGTTAACGCTGGATGAACAACCCCATTAATTGCCATGTTACTGATGGTGAAGGGGAAAAATAGATGTAACACCGTGCTTTTTGGATAAAAAAGGAGTCAATTTCTGGAACTATTAAAAAAAAATTGCAAAAGTAGAAGAAAATGGCCCGAGTTGTTGACATTTTGTTTCTTTCTATGTAAATATCAATGAGGCCACACATCACATAGTTACCTAGTCAGTGGTAGATAACTATCACACAACAGCATTATTAATTTCTGTACACAAGTGTCCATCTTCTCATCTATGTGGATAAACCACACATTACTTGGCTGATGCACGGGTTGAATGGTATAGATACAACTCAAACACATATACACATATTCTCAGACTCACACAAGCACACCTTTCACTTTCCTCTACCCCCATTTGTCATCTTTGGTGACAACCATGGTCGTGGCCTTGCTCCAATAGTAATGAATGACTCTCAAGGTGATAATACACCCAAGTCATGCAAAGGACCCACTTAATAGCTTGGTAGAAGTACTGCACAACCCCCACCCAATCTCCACCAATACACATATACATACTTGTCTCTTTTGCAAAAATTATATTTTGCTCTGAAATGTAATTGATCTTTTGTTCGCTGGCCACGTTGGACACTCTGAACACACTGGAGAAAATGGATTCCAGAGAGTGTTGAGGACATGTTCTGTGACAGAGGCCGTTGGTTACAGGAAGAATAGAAAATAGGGAACCTATCATTCAGATCCAAATGGGTCTGATGCTACAGCACTATGTTGTTCTATTAGTCCTGTTTCAACACTGCATATATATATATATATATATATATATATATATATATATATATATATATATATATATATATATATATATATATATATATATATATATATATATATATATATATATATATATATATATATATATATATATATATCAAGTTCCACTGTTGGTTTAATTTTGAAATTTAAATTATAAAACATGGGTCTCCTCCTTATTTGGCACATTAGTCTATTAAAATAAAAACATTGCTTAAGATGAAATGCACATGAAAAAAATAATTTATTATTATTATTACTTGTAGTAGTAGTAGTAGTTGTAATAGTAATAGAAGCAATAGTATTGGTGTTATTATCAATATTAATTGAACACTGAAGATCCAAAGTCTTCCACACGGATAAATAATTTAACTTTAAGCTTTACTGAGTCATTAACCAGTTGCTTGGTGAAAATCTGAAGAAGATTGGGTAAAAATTGATGACACATCAAGCCTAAACTGAGATTAAGCTATAGTTAGTATTCCAAACAAAACAAATTTTCTTCTTATGTTCTAAAGTCTTTGTGCTTTCAGACTACAACAATTACAGTCAAGGCATTTATATTTCTCCCCAAATCCACAAGAATTGTCCTGCACTGAAAATATTGTTTTTTTTTCTCTTTAGACGTCAGGTAAGATCGATATGTATAATAAACTATATTTACAAATATATTAATACTTTTTACCAGCTGTAAATTCAGGGATAATCTTAAAGAGTTAAAATAATGTAGAAGCATTTTCTTTCAGAATTCAGCTTATGTGAGATGTTTCATAGAAACACTTCTTTATAGGAGAACAGACATTTCCAAGCCCTAAAGAAGGCATATATGCAAAAAACAAGTCTTGACTAATTACATCAATCTGAAAGCAATAAAAATACCAAAGATGAGGATTTCATAGTTTGTTGTGAAAAACAAGGCAGGCTACATCGTTAGGGAAAATAATGTTGAGAAAGAAAGTAAGTGTTGGTTTTCTCCCCTTTCAAAAATAGGAATATTCAATTCAAAGGCCCTAATTATGTACCACACAAAGTGATTTAGTATTTCACATCCATGTTACCATAAAGCAACACATGATCTACATTCACTTTTGTTTTTTAATTTCTCGGGCCTTTAGAGGTTCCAAGAAGATGCAAGAGAACTAAATTACATAAAATACATTTTTATTTTATTGTATAGCATCTTTGAGAATCCTTTGAGGGTTCTTGAAGATGCTATACATTTGTCATGGTTGAAAAGCATTATTTAAATCTCATGTTGTTTTATTTAATTTAAAAGGCAAATGTAACCTTTATTGTTTCATGACTAAAATAAAAAGCTATTATTTTTTCTGATGGTTAGGATTTAACTGCTGTTTTCAGCTCTTTCTGTTAGGTTTTATCAAGGCAAACATGTGAAAGATGTACCATTTAATAAAAAACAAAAGTGAACATCATACATTCAAATATCTTCTTCGAGAGATATTTTTCTGCTTCCTAAAGGAACGATCAGAGGTAATGCAGTGACTTCCGTAACATAATCTTCATAGTCCCAGAAGAGAAAGAATGATAATGAAAGCTTTACAGAGCTGTAATTCATCTTTCTTGTGTGTGTGGGGGTTGGGGATGTGCATGTATGCAGCTGTGTGTTAGTGTGGATGTGTTTTTGTGTGCTTGTAATCATCAAGGGAAATAATCTTTTTGATTTTGAAATATTTTTAGTCATAACTTCTATTTATCTGTTGAACATCAATATTTTACTTCTACGCTGTGACATTTTTATGTGTTGAATATAAGAATTGTGTGTTTTGAATGTTGAAGCAAACACCTGACTTCCATCAAGAGCATAAAAAACTCTTGATGGGAGAGTTTTTTATGGTCATTTCTATAGTTCTGTAATTGGATAGCTTCCCAGCTCATTTTTTCAGCTTCAGCTATTGCTTGCAATGATGAAATCATGATTGATGAAGTCAGACTGTAATCTCTCGCTTAACCAACATGTTAATGTTTTGGATTTGTGTTTCTCTGACACTAGATGTAGCAGACACACCCCTTCTCCCCCACTCCCTTTTCACACATTGTCACATTCTTTTGTTTCTTTTTGCTGTATTCCTACAGATGACCCATCAGCCAACTGGCTTCATGCACGCTCCTCCAGGAAGAAGAGGTGTCCATACACTAAATACCAGACCCTAGAGCTTGAAAAGGAATTTTTGTTCAATATGTATCTCACGAGAGACCGAAGGCATGAGGTGGCTCGCGCACTGAACCTGACAGAGAGGCAGGTTAAGATTTGGTTCCAGAACCGGAGAATGAAAATGAAGAAACAGAGCAAAGACCAGACCAAGGAGTAGTGGGACTAAAGACCACATTACAAATAATCACTCACCACTTTCTCTCTCTCTATCCCTCTCGCTCTCACTCTCTGTCTCTCTTACACAAACACACACATGCCTTCACACCTACACATACACACACACAAATACACACGCCTATAGATTCATAGCCCACCATATAGTTAATCCATCATGAAGCACCTTTTTTGTATAACCAGAATACAATGGCCTTTCTGAACAGACATGTACACCAACCTTAACTTCACTTCACTTCACTTCCATGAAGAGAAGGTTCATTTCATTGCCATTCTCTCGAATAAGAGAAGTCATAAGAGAATGACTTCTCTTATTTGAAGAGAAGTCAGTCTCTTCAAATAATAAACCAAGAGATTTTGACACAGTATTCAAAATGTGCAAGAAAAAGTCAAATTTATATGGAGCTTTTAATGAAATCAGCTCCATATTTGAATCTATTTCTTAAATACATAAACACACAGATATAGTTAAGGGATGTGGAAACTCCACTGGCTTGGACCAGAGTTTATAGAACCACCAACATCTGAAAGAAGATCAATGTTTACTTCCTGTAATACATTCACCCTCAGAACATGACTTCATCCCTAAAAAGTGTTGGACACACTATAGTGGAAGTAAAGTTTTAAAATATTAAGATGTTTGACAGAAGGTTGGAACTTTGAAATCGTTTAAGCTTATGTTAATGAATGAGGTTGATCATACACACAAGCAGCAGTTCCTTGTGGGCATTTTCTACTTTTAATTAACTGGACTTCATACAGAATGCAAGCATCACTAGTCTTGTGGTAATAAAACACCCCAAAACATAAGTCCTAAAAGGGAAAGAAGCAGGAACTTTAAGTAAAAGACAGAAGTAGACTGCTAACAGTAAAATAGAAGCTTTCTTTCTTTAAAACCGTGCTATTTCTTATTTTTGATACATGATGCCAACAGAAGCACATAGAAGTGGTGAAGCTGCATCCAAAAATGAAAGACCACCCACAGACCTTTATTCCTGAGCTGTGTTGTTAACGGATGAATAATAATGACCTTGTAAAGTTGTACAATTGTTTCAAAAAATTTTTAATTTAAACTGCACAAACCACAAATTCAAGAAAAGACTATTCCATTATTTTTCAAACAAAAGATATTGTCTTTGTGAAAACATTTACCCTGAACTGACCTGTCCAGGGAGTGACCTGCTTCTTGGCCTGTAACCGCTGGAGATGCCAGCTTTGGAAAACCAGTTTCTCACTAATCTTGACATTCCTAAAACAAAGACATTTATAGATTTGACGGTTTTCTAAACAACGAGAGTTGCAACAAGAGCTGCACATGCATGGGCAGTATACACAGATCATCAGTCAGCAGAAGGAAAATAACAACGTATTACCATAGTCCAGATTTTATTCACTGTGCTGTCAAGATGCATTTTGGAAGAAATTCTCTCTATTTTTCTACATACAAAATATTTAGTGTCTGCTATGCAAGGTTTTTGTTATTTCAGGAAGTTTGCTGCAAAACTCCTGTAAGTAATGACTGCTTGAATGATTTGGCATCATTCACTGATGCTTAACGCCTGAACATGTTTCTATTGCTACCATGATACTTAGGATTGATTTTCTGTTTGTTTCCGCTGCTGTTTTAACATGATAGTTCTGACCATTATCATTTGAGGATATCTTCTAAACATTTATGATTATTATGTTTCAATCAAAAACTGATGGTGGCTATGTTGGCCAGCCTTTCTGTCTCTGTGCTGGTGTGTAAAACATGGACATGAATGGCATCTAGTTTGTACTTGGGAAAGTTTTGTATGAGTGGAGTGTTAGTCAATGTGTGAGTTCAGGTGAATGCTGGTAAGTGTGTTTATGAGCAAACAAGTGGGCATGTGTGTGTGTGGGGGGGGGGGGGTGGTGTGGGTGTGGGGTGTGTGTGTGTGTGTGTGTGTGTGTGCGTGTGTGTGTGTGTGTGTGTGTGTGGGTGTGTGTGTGTGTGTGTGTGTGTGTGTGTGGTGAGAAGTAAGGGAGATGTGGGGTGATGAGTTGAGTGTCAGCTAGTGAATGTAGGTGAGTGAGAGTGTGAGAGCAGGTGTGTACACGAGGCTGGGACATGAACAGGTGAGTTTGGGTGAGTGTGTGTAAATGTGTGTGAATGTGGAGGAGTGTAACCTGGTCAACTAGAACAGTCCTATCCAGGCAAAAGCTACAAATTTTAAGATAAGCAGCATCACACCCTCCATTTATGAGATAAAATGTTTACATGGTTTGTGCATGCCTCGAGTCATTTTGAACAGGTTATTTTGTTGCTGTTTTTTGTTGTGTCGTAAATCTATCTAAAGGCATTGCTTGCTGGAAATATTGCTAGAAAAATAATTAAAATGTCTTAACATGAAACATTTCTAATTTATTTTACACAAAGCAAGTAACCTTGTGTTTCAAGATGAAATAAGTCAAATATGTTGAATATAATATTTTTTTTAAACACGTTATCTTGCTGTACTATGGATTTTCTTTTGTTTTCCATGTTGTGCTGTCTGAATTATATAGTTTGATGTCAGTCTGATGAGTTTTATGTGTATTTTATTGTGAATTTATTTGATTGTGATCAGTAATGACTTAGACTGTTTGTATTTTGGAAAAGAGGAGATGAAAAGATATGATAAAGATGAAGTAATGCTAAACAACATTGATTTAAACGCTCATTCTCTTACTGAGGTTTCTTAACCTTTAAAGACTTTGGTTTCTGTCTTAGTTTTTGCTCTCCTGACGAAATGAGTATGTTGAGATTTGCCGTGGATTAATGTGGCCAGTGATCTTGAAATTAATCCATATAATCTGAACGATCTGGTCACAGTAAGAATCTTTTTTCATGAGCACAAAAACTTCTACTTTAGTTTTCTTTTCTTCATGTATGTTTTTCCTCCCCTCTTCTCGCTGCATTGTATCTCATGCTTTGTGCACTGGCACTGCTCATCATAGATTCATATTAAATTTAAGACCTTATGACAGTCTGACTGTTTTTGCTGTCTTTGCTTCCTTCTTTAATTTTTTATTTTAATTTTTTTTTTTACAGAAAAACAGAGAGCAACAACAATCAATTTGTTTAAATTAAAACATTTATTTTTCAGTGTGAAACTTGGATGAGCCAGGAATGGGAACCTCTTATTTTTTCACCCTTTTGAAAAACCTTAAAAGAACAGAATGAGATGTTGAGAAAGACTCGGATGAGTAAAGCATGTGGTTCAAATATGTCTCCTCAGTCGTGTCTCTGCTGTTGTACACTGGAGCTTAAAGGAAAAGGGCGTCAGTCTGGCTGCAACACCAAAAGAAATCATAATTCCCTTTACACACACACACATATGCAAATACACACAAAGAGATGACAAATGCATTCACTGGGGGCCTCATCATGCATCCATTAGAAGTTTGCAATGCCATTGTGGTTCCTGTTTGTCTTTACACAGAACAAGGCTGATCCCCAGTATGATTAGCATTTCCAGGCTGTTATGACTTCTCTCTACATTTTTATGTATACAGTTTTTCTTATAGGTGTAGTGAAGAAGGCTAGTTCTTTATCACACTTCAAACAATTACCATAATACTTCAGAATGTTTTCAGTTTGCAAGAATTCAGTCAAAACTTACAATTTCTGATGAAAATCCTGTACATCCATCATGTGGTCTCATTGTTTGACTCAGCAAGACATGTCTTTGCTTATCTTACAGATGTTTTTATTATTATGATTGCTTAGGCATAATTTTGAAAACACAGCACCAGTTTTTTCAACAAATGTTAGCAATAACAAAAACTTTTCTTACTTTTTAATGGCTCTCTGAAGTGACAGGATAGCAAAGAAACTACTGCTTTCAATATCACAATCAGTTGTGCTTGTTGCTTAAGATGCTCTGGTTAAATGAAAGTAGAAATTTTTCTGAGTTCAAGCAGTGACTATGGGTGCTGGCAGGGTACAAACTCAAAGCCTGCAGTCTTAGTTTTTTTTTTTTTTTCTTGGCTTGCCAGAACAGTTCAATAGTTTAGCACTTACAAATTCATGTTTAATATTAAGGCATAAAAAAAGCACAATTTTGCATTGTTGTGTATGTAGAGTTAATCTCATTTGGTTGTATTAAATATGATTATTGGATTTACTGAGAACATGCAATGGTGCTGTCCAAAACTGAAGTGAGGTTCTTCAATTTTGTTTGTAATTTTTACTCTGACATATCTCTTATCTTAAACAAGGTGGGAGGTGTTTTAATAACCACACACAAAAAGAAATTCTTCATTTGAAAACTTACATGACTGTATCACACTGCAACAAAGATTGGCCTAAACTTTACCCATATTGTAACTTTACCAGTTACTTCTTGGAAGCCTGGAAGAAGGACAGGAGTTACAAACAACCAGGAGAGAAACTGAGCCAAAGAAGAAATTATCCTGTGTTGTAATGTCAGAAATGTCGGAAGAAGGCATATTATTAATATGTTAGCCCACCAGATATGCAAACTAAAATAAAGTATACTTAGACTTTCTGTTTGCTGGTTCATGTGTAATTATTTTTAATGTAAGGGTTAATGTATCTCAAGCGAGCATTTAGAGCTACAAGTACACAGTGATACTAGTGTCAAAAATCAACTCTTTAAAGCCAGAATGAACTCTGTATTGGTGATAGAGAAACTCTCTTTTCCATGGTACATTTTACTCCATAATGTATAGTTTAGACACTAACAGAGTTTACTTTTATGCTCTGTCAGTCTTGAAAGAGTCAAATGATATCAGGAAAAGAGTTCATTTATACTCTCAAAGTGAGAGTATACTCTGGTGTTATTCTTTTAACTCCAGTGTTCTTTCAACACTGGGAATTTGGACCCAAATTATCATTGAGTTTGGTGTAAACTTTCCTCTTAAAGTGTAACATATACACTCCACAATTTCCTGTGCGGTCTATGAAATATGATATAGTACTACAAAGTAGCTAGCCGGGTTAGAGATTCATGAAATTTGCAAGCCCTGTTCCCCAGCTGTAAACCTTCCTCCAGCCTCCATCCAAAGCCCGCTCTCCCATGGAGAGACAAAAGCTGCATGCCTTCTCCCCCAATTCTCTCTGTGTGTGAGGGGGTGTTTATTGGTTTATGATGGTCTTTTGGTGTTGCAGCCAACAGACACCCTCTTCATTTAGGCTTCAGTGTACAACTAAAGAGACACATATTTTAAACACATGCCAGCTCATCCCAGTCTCCATCTTACTTTCCTTTCATTATAGGTCAAAGAAAGTTCACATAGTTTATAGATCTATGTTTGCATTTGTCCTCAAAATGTCCTTTTCAAACCAAATTCAGTTTAGAAAAGGAAACAAGTAATAAACTTTTTGTAGCCAATGTGGACCAATGTAACATATGAGCTATAATTGCCCAATGTTAAATTATAAATTAACTGTCACTAATCCTTTTTTTCTTTTACAATGAAAGGATAAATTGAGGAGGGCCTATCTGAAAACATACTGTATGCTAAACTATTTCAAGATGGAACAGGTCATAGTTCAGTGCAACAGATGAGAAAAAAAGTAATTGACATCTTGGTGAAAACCTTTCCAAATCTTTTGGAATCAGCGGCAGAGCCATTATCTGAAAAAAAAGAAAAAAAGGGAAACACGGTGTATCTTTTCTTGCTAACCCCTGAAAAGTTATTTCAAGAATTCACTATCACAAGAAAAAAAATGTTCAAGTGCATCTAAAATACGTCACTTGCAGCAGTAGAGATCAGACTTCATGGTTTGATGATGAGAACCAGATAAGAAAGAACACAAGCCTGTTTAGCACTAACGAGACTTTTTTTGATGAGCCCAAGAATTTTGAGAACATTTTCTGGTCAATGACCAGAGAAAAATTGCAATTTTTAAAACGTATTAATTCTATGTGGTGTAAAATTAACACAGCATTTGACACACTAAATATTATACTAAAAACTAAACATGGTAATGGAAATATGATGGATTGAACTTCCTTTGCTATTTCCAGATTAGGCAACCTGACACAACTGAATGCAATTGATAAAACTAGAAATTCTAGGCTCTGGCATAAAACCCTGAATGAAAGTACACTATTCAAGAATTTAAGCTCAACCCCACTTTGGTTGTAAGCAGACTTATGCGAAAAAATTTACATCTGGATGGCTGGAAAAAAAAAAGAAAGTTATGGAGAGGTTTAGTCAAAGTCCAGATTTTAGTATGATTGAGATGCCACCATGACATGACCTTGCCAGACTGCTTCTGCAAAGAAGACTCAGCCTCGATTCCTCACTGTTGATGTAAAAGACTCATTGTCAGTTAACAAAAATCTGTGATAGGAGAATGAAAAGGATGACACAATATGTTAAACACAAAATGCCAGGTTGGATTGGATGATTGACTGGAAAACTGCTTTTATTCCTGTTCTTTTATTCTCATGTAACAAAGAAAGAGGGAGAGTTTGGCCATGTCTGCAATCTCACAGCAAAGTTTGAGGAAGACGTTTTAGTCTGTTTTAGATTCTAACTGGAAACAGAAAAGAGAATAAAAATCTAATCAATCTGTCCTACTCACCTGTGTTTTTCTGTTTTACTCAGAGACCACATTGGTCTCTTTTTTTCAGAGTACTCCAAGGATTTGTTCTGATCAACAATATCTTGAAATTTCCCCACAGAATTAAAACAAAACAAATGAAAATTATTCAACCCTGATGTCTTTTCTAAAATTTGAAATTCTAAATTAATTGCAACCTGGTTTCCATATTTCTGTGTTTGCAGCTTGACTGGTGTCATCAGGTTTCAGAAACAAGTGAAGCTAAGTATTATTAAATAATCTGCACAGTCACAAAAAGTAGTCTGACTGAATGCAGCCCTAGCCTGGTACTTTCA